TTTTGTCTTTTTGAGACAGGGTCTCCCTGTAGCCCCAGCTGTCCTGGCACTCACTATGTAGACCAGGCTGGCCTTGAACTCACAGAGATCCGCCTGCCTCTGCCTCCCGAGTTCTGGGATTAAAGGCCTGCGCCACCACGCCCAGAGGGTTTTGATTTTTAAGAGTAATGGAATTGGCAGTGTGGTGGGGTCACCAGCTTAGTGTGGTCTAACCAGAAGCCAGACTGTTAATTAGCCTCTCGTCACAGTCACAAAATACTAACATAAAAGTGGGTGTGGTAGCAATTCTAGCACGTAGGAGGTGGAGACACAAGGATCAGAATTTCCAAATTGTCCTTGACTGTGTAGCAAGTTCAGAATCAGCCTGGGCTGCTGGAGACCTTGCCTTATAAAACCAACAGAGAGAAAACACTTAAAAGGAAGAAGGATTTATTTGACTAGTGATTATCAGTTCATGGTCAACCTGCTCCGTTGTTACTGGGCCTGTGGTGGGGTGGAGCTTTATGGTGGAAGGATGTAGTGTGCAGAGCTGGTCATCTCCTGACTTACCGGAAGCAGAGAGAGAAAGCAAGCCTGTACTGGTGGGCACAGGTTGTATTCTTCTACATGTGTTCCATCTGGGCACCCAGCCCGTGGAGTAGTAGTGTCCACATTCAGAATGGGTCTTCCCCCATAGGTGCTGTTCCACATGCCAGCCATCTCTGGAAATGCCCTCACACACACCCCCAGAAGTCTCCCAGGTATCCCTTCATGCAGTCAGGTGGCAGGATTGACCTTCCGACTACTTAGCACAGAAGTGGTCATCTGGGTGATAGAAGAGCTCAGAGGTCAAATGAGCTCAGGCTAGGACACTTGATAGGGGACGGGGTGGGGAGAGAACGGAGAGGCAGAGAGGCAGGAAAGGGTGTAGAGAAAGCAGGAGTAGAGGTGACAGGAGGCAAAGCTACAGGGCTTCTGATGAGAACATGTGGTGCTCTGCTGACAAGGACCCAGCAGAAGAGGGGAGATTAACTCTGTAAAAGAGCCCCGCATGGTGGTGAACACCTTTATTCCCAGCACTCGGGGAAGCAGAGGCAGGCAGATTTCTGTGAGTTCCAGGCCAGCTGGTCTGTATAGTGAGTTCCCAGTCATCCAAGGCTACAGGAAGACCCTGTCTCAAAAAAAACAAAAACAGAGCAGGAATGATGGCCTGGCAGCTAGGAGCACTGGTTGTTCTAGCAGAGGACCCAGATTTGGTTTCCAGTACCCACATGATGGCTAACAACCATCTGTAACTCCAGTTTCAGGGGATCCTATACCCTTTTCTGACTTCCTGGGCATTGCACACACATGGTACATTTACATACATGCAGGCATAACAGTCATACACAAAAAATAAAAATAAAATAAATAAATTTCAAAAATTCAAACACCAAACCAAAAAAAAAAAAATTCTGTGGAAGAAAATGTGTACAAGAGGCTCCTGAGAGGGGAAGGGCGGAGAGGAAAGAGGCTATGCCCCTCTGTGTTGCAGGGTGATGACCCAGTGTTTGGGAAGGATGGTGGCATTGGTATGTCAGGGAGAAGGTAGAGTCTCTTTTCCCATACTCACCGTGCGTCCATGTGAACCAGACAGGACCAAAGACACTAGGAGTGACCAAGTGTCTCTAAGTAGCCTGAGATAGTTCTGGTCCTGGAAGCCTAGGCCAAGTTCACAGCCACACCTAGGCCATCTCCTATAAACCCACAGGCCGAGAGCAGGGCAAAACTAGAAAGTGGCCATTCTCTTTGGTTTGTGGGATTTTGTTTGTTTTGAGATAAGGTCTCTGTAGCCCAGGATGGCCTTGAACTTACTATATAGCTGAGGATGACCTTGAATTCCTGATCCTCCTGCCTCCACCTCCCAAGTTCAGGGATTATAGGAATTGCTCTATCACCACCCAGCTGGCCCATTTCTCAAAAGCAGGACATGAAGGAATTAAAAGGATAAAACACAGCTGACTTGATACTGAATCCCCAGGTGGCTTAGATAGCTACAGGGAAAAATTATAAACACAAAGAGCAGACAGGAGGCATTTTGCCAGACATAAATTGTCCTGGGGTTAAGGACAAAGCGCAGTGATAGAATGCTGGCCCAGCATGTGCAAGGCCCTGGATTTGAGCTCTGGCACCGAAAAACAAAAAAATTGCTTTGCTTTCTCTTAAATAAAATAGGATGGTGAAAGCAGCATGCGATCAGAATGTGAACGCTTCAGGCTGAGCCCCGGACACCTCCTGACACAGTGGAGAAAGATGGAGGACACACAGCAGGATGGTGCAACCAAGCAGCCCAGACCTGGTTTTGGAACTGCTAGAATACAAAAAATACTGAAGGGGGCGGGGAGGGGAGGGACTCATTTTAAAATGTGCAATTCCGGGACCAACAACAGATCAGTGGGCTCAAGGTAGAAGGGAGCCACTCAGCCATTCCTTAAACAGTCCAGACGCTTTGTTTTGTTTTTGTTGTTTGAGTCAGAGTTCCACCACTTGGTTCTGGCTGACTCAGCACTCACTATGGGGGCCCAAGTAGTAGTGTACCCCTTCAATCCCAGTGCTCCCGGAGGCAGAGACAGGGGGGTTTCTGTGCGATTGAGACCAGCCTGGTCTATGTAGCAAGTTCCAGGTCAGTTGGGGCTATAAGGAGACCCTGTCTCAAAAACAAACAACCTCACTGTGTAACCTGACTGGTCTCAAATTTGCAAGGTTTTCTACCTGCCTCAGCCTCCCAAGTACTGAGATTATAAGCATTCCTCTCCATGTCTGGTGGTTTTATCTGGCTTTGGTTTTTTAGGGATGGGATCTTGTTATGTGGTCCAGGCTGGCCTTGAACACACAGTCCTCCTGTTTCCATTCCTGAAGGCTGGGATTACAGGCTTACCATTGCACCAGCTGATCCCAGGTGATTGTGCCTCTGTGACCATAGACCTCATCCTAAAAACTTTGAATTAGGGGTTGAAGGACACTTTAAATGAAGGTTTCTATAATAACCTTTGGGGGGGGGGGTTAGAGAGATGTCAGCAGTTAAAAACACTGGCTGTTCTTGCAGAGGACCCAGATTCAATGCCCAGCACCCACATGGTAGCTAACAACCATCCATAACTCCAGTTCCAGGGAATCCAATGCCCTTTTCTGGGCTTTGTGGGCATTGCATGACTGCAGGACTGGGTGTATTACATGCAGGCAAAACACTCATACACATAAAAACAGACAGACAGACAGATAGATAGATAGATAGATAGATAGATAGATAGATAGATAATGGACTTTGGGGGATTTCCACCTTTCATCCTATCATGGTTTTTTATTTGGTGATTGTTCATTTGTTTGGTTAGTTTTGGTTTGTTTTGTTTTTACCACACCAGGAGTTGAACCCAGGGCCTTGGACTTGCTAAGCACGTGTTCTACCATCAACCTTCATTTAAATTGTATTTTGACATAGAGCCTTTCTATGTAGCCCAGGCTAGCCTCAATAGTCCTGTTCCAGCTTCCTGAGTCCCTGATATTACAGGAATGCACCACCACACCTGGCTCCTAGGTCCTGGCCTCTTGAAAGAAGGAAAGGGCGAGGAGAAGTGTCAATATGCACGTGTTTCTCTTTCCCCAAGTTGGTGTTGAGGCTGAGAGTGAGGCAACGGCTTAGCCAGTCTCCTGTCATCCCACGCCATGTACGTCACGTAGATTGTGATCGATGACAACAGAGTCAGGGTTGCAAATGATTTGCCCAGCTGGATTAAAGTCAATCAGATGAAATTTCCCCGAGATGGGTGTCCAGTTCTGCTTTTGGTTAAAACTAAACAAAAATCAATACAACACTGTAGGAAAGTTGGGGGCAGGCTGAGCTTAATAGCAAGTCCTGCTAAGAAATTCAGGGAGGGAGGGGTTGTTTACAGACCATGGGGGCAGGACACAAGGTCAGGTCAGTGTGTGTATGAGGGGTAGGATTACTAGAGTACTAATACCCCCCTCCCCACCCTGCTCAGAGCATGCACTGAAAAGTAACAGTGGGGGGCTGGAGAGATGGCTCAGCGGTTAAGAACACTGGTTGTTCTTGCAGAAGACTTGGGTTTGAATCCCAGCACCCACATGGCAACTAACAACAACTGTAACTCCAGTTCCAGGGGATCCAACAGCCTCTTCTGTCCTCCACAGGCATTGCACGACATGTGTGCACTTACCTACAGGCAGGCAATACACTCATACATATAAAATAAAAATAATAAATAAATAAATAAAATAGAAAGAAAAGTAAAACTGGGCATGGTGGCCCACACCCACAATGGGAGATAGAGACAGGGATCAGGAGTTCAGGATCATCCTTGGAAGAATAGAGAGTTTGAGGCCAAGCTGGGGATCCATGAGACCTTGTCTCGTATAGCTGCCTCAGAAAGCAAAAGACAAGCTGGGCATGGTGGAGCATGCCTTTAGCCCAACATTTGGGTGGCAGAGGCTGGTGGATCTCTGTGAGATCAAGGCCAGCCTGGTCAAATTGTGAGTTCAGCAGAAGGCAAGAAATGGTGAGGAGGCCACATTGACATATTAGATGCGGTGTGTAGCAGAATTGGAGGCTTGTTCCAGCCAACCCCAAGCATGAAGCAGAACCCAGTGGGTTTGTGGGTTAAGGAGGCAGCCTTCAGCTCTATTCTTGAGAACTTTCTAGAAGCTGAAATTTTGTACTACAGAACTGGCTCTCTTGGGGGCTATATGGGAAGGTCAGGGGAGGGGGTGGAGAAGGCCAGGGTGCCCTGATTCCTAGCCATGTCAGGAGAGACCTGAAGGTTGATACTAAGCATGTCATCTCATCAGACCTCAGGGCTCCACTGGAGCCACCAAAGCCTCATCCCCAGACTTGCCTGCAATTTTGTACCTTTCAGAGTCCCACCTAGAAGAGCACTCTTCCTATTGGCCAAAGATAGACTGGCTTCTGCTGGGTCACTTTGGTTGGTATTTAACCTTCGGGACATCATCCCCTCATCCCAGAACCCAGAATAAAATTCCTCAGCTAAAGTCAAAAGCCCACACTCTGGTTATTTGCAGTAGCTTTTATTCATAGTTTTCCAAACTTGGAAGTAATCAGGGCTTCTTCCTTCAGTAGCTGAGTGGTTAAATAAACCAGGACATGGCTGGACAATGGAATATTACGTGGGGCTGAAAGCAAATGTTCTATTAAGTCATGAACGATGTGGGGGAACCTTCAGTGCCTGTTACTAAGAAAAAGAAGCTGATGGGGAAATGCCGCATGCTATGAGTCCAACTGTATGACATCTGGAAGCAGCAGGGCCTATGGAGACTGAAAGACCTGGGGTTGGAGGAGGGAGGCAAAAGGCTATGCAGAGCACAGGGGCATTTTAGGGCAGGGAGTACTGTAATAGCAAGTATGTGACACTGTATGTTTGCCAGACCTGTAGAATTTCAACACTAAGGTGACCCCTGTGCATGCTATGGACCTTGGGTGGCACCCTGTTCCCATTGGCTTCATTAGTTAAAGCAAACACACTACTTTGTGCGGGATATTGTAATGGGAGACCTAGCACATATATAGACAGAGGTAGATGAGAATACTGTACTTGCTGCTCAGTTTTGCCATGAACCTAAAACCACTCTATACACTTTTTTTTTTTGGCATTTTTTGAGACAGGGTCTCTGGCTGGTTTCCCTGTAGACCAGGCTAGCCTTGAACTCAAAGAGCTCTGCCTGCCTCTGCCTCTCAGATGCTGGTTTTAAAGGCGTGCACCACGATACCCAGCACTATAAACAATTTTTAAAAGATAAATGCAGAGGCTTGAATTGTCACTCAGTAGTAGAGTGTTTGCCTAGCATGCCTGCCTGAGGCCCCAGGTTCAATCCCCAGTACTATAACAACAAAAAAGAAACCGTTAAGTTGACAGTACTTATGGACTAGGGCGATGGCTCAGTGGGTACAGTGCTTACTGTGCAAACATGAAGACCTATGTTTGGATCTGAAGCACTTATGTAAAAAGCCACCATCAGGCACACACACCTTTTGTAACCCCAGTGCTGGAAGTATGGGGGTGGAGACAGGTGGGATCACCGGGCTCACCGGCCACCAGGGTAGCCTTTTCTATGAGCTCCAGGTTCAGTGAGATGCCCTGACCCAAGGAAATAAAGAAGAAAGAGGTAAAGAACGACTCCCAACTTCTCCCTCTGGCCTCGTGCACACATGCCGTACACACGTGTATACACATGCATATACTATACATCACACACACATACACACCAAAGATAAATGGGTTCTTTCCCAAATGTCACCCCTAATCTTTGTTTCTGGTCTTGCTTGTAGTGCTGCTGTGGCCGTTGGGTTCTATGGAAACAGCGAGACCAACGATGGAGTAGACCAGCTGATCTACTCCTTGGACAACGCCAACCACACCTTCTCTAGGATTGATGAGCTGGTAAGCATGGTAGACAGCTAGCCAGGCACGGACACAGCCCATGAGGTCAGCAAGGGCACCAGTCATATCTCAGGAGCCCGTCTGTGGTGGTGTGGACTGGGCTCCATTCTGCCATTTGCAGTTAACCCTGCAGGCACAATTTCTGTGACCCAGGCCAGGAGAGGTTTGGGGCAGCTCAACCCCATCAGACCCCAATTCATCTGCAGGACGGCCGAGCACTTGCCCAATTCCCTGACAGAGACTTGAGCGTAGGTTTCTCTTGCTTTTTTAAATATTTCTTTGAAGCAGGATCTCACTGTGTAGCCCTGATTAGCCTGGAACTCACTATGTAGACCATGTTCCCCCTGAGCCTTCAGTGGGCGATCTTCCTGCCTCTGCCTACCCAGTGCTGGGATTACAGGTGTGTGTCACCATACCCTGTTGAGCATGCGTTGTGTGTGTGTGTTTGCTTGCCTAAGACATTTTAATTTCGAACTCTGTGTCAGGAAGGATAACCTTGAGCTTCTTTATTTTTATTTTATGTGCATGAGTGTATTGCCTGCATGTATGTAAGTGCATCCGTGTCATACAGTGCCCTCAGAGGACAGAAGAGGGTGTTGGCTCCCCTGGAACTGGAGTTACAGGTGGTTGTTAGCTGCCATGTGGGTGCTGGGATTCGAACCCGGGACTTCTGCAAGAACAGCCAGTGCTCTTAACCTATGAGCCATCTCTCCAGCCCCCTGAACATGGATATTTTAATGTTAGCTCTGAGTCCTCAGTCTAAAGCTCTGGTCCAGCTGTCAAGAGGGAAAACTGTCTTTAGAAACAATGAAAGAGCCCCAGGAGTTGAGGGAGCCCACGGAAGCCGGTGTTGTGTCTGGGGCTCTGGTTTCGTGCACTCCTGCTGGAAGCTCACTGCGGAAGACTGCTCTGGGCTGATGAAAAAAGAAGTTGAGCTACTTGGAGGAAGAGCTGCCCTGCTGAGCCCCACAATAACCCAAATGATGGAGAACAAGGAGTTGATTTCCTCTCTTCAACCCTGGCCCCTGCCTGCCTGGGACTTGCTAAGGCTAGTCTTTCCTGCTGATTTTCCCAGGGGACCCACAGCAGACCCAGGTGTTTCCTGAGGACTCTTGGTGCAAAAAGAGACCAAGAGCAGATTTCAGGGAAACTGGTCCTTGGGTATCTGACCCGCTCTTGACCAGGTCGCCCATAGAGGAGTAACGGCCCCAGGAAAAGGCCCATTTTTGTCAGCAGTCTCCACCACCAAACCCAGCCCTAATTAGAGCAATTGGTCACTGCCCTGGCATCCTCCTAGGGAGGACTCAACCTCATCTGTCCCCTCCCACACGCTCCTCTAAGCTGCTCTAAGGCTCTAATCCCTCCATCAGCTCCCAGAGACAAGAGGGGCAGGCAGGAAATCTCACCTTAAAGAGACAGGCTGTACTGCTCAAAATAGAGGTGGCCTCTGGCCTCCAGAGAGGCCCCTTAATGAGGCTGAGTATATAATGTCACATCAGAGACCCCCATTGTCCTATATATACCTCATCCTTCTCCCCCTTATATCCAAGGGTTAAATCCCTGGGAGAGACCCGATGCCTGAGGTGTCTGGGTACTGGACTGGGCATCTCTGGAGTGAGGCTAGGCAGCTGGGTGGAGGAGCTGAGGGACAGCATTATAGGAACAGCTGCCCAGCCTGGCCTGTGAAGTACAGGAAGGCCTGAATATGAGCTGGCTCCTGGGAACGCTCCTGCTCACCTCAGTCTTGGTGGGGAGTAAACCCAAGGACGTGGTCCTCCTGCCTGTCTGCCTGTCCTCCGTGTTGTGCTGCCTTCCCCTCTCTAGCCATCAGCATCCTTGGAAGAGGAACCCAGTAGGAGGAGGAGATTGCATTAGAAAGCCCCAGGGCCATGACCTTCACTAGTAGGAAAATCTATTTCTCCAAGTCCTTATCTCAGGGTAAGGGCATGCTGGGGAGAAAGCTGGGAACTGAAGTCCTGCTCTTGAGACCCTCCCTCACCCTCCTCCTAAAGGGAAGGGTTCTGTGTCTCTGAAGATCAGCTCCTCATCCCCCACCCCACTGCTGTTACTGCAAAGTAGGGTCAGTTCTCCTGGGTTTTCTGGTGGTCCTGGTGGCTGCAAGCCACTTCTGTCCCACATACTGGGACCCATGGAGCTGGTGTGGGCCTTAGGGTAGGTGTCCAACAGTCTCAGATTGAGAGCTGCAGGAAAGATAACTGATCTTGAGTCCTCCCCTCCTGGTCCAAAGGGTGAGGTCCAAATAGCAGGTAAATGGTGTCTGTGTCAAATTAACACCAGTGAAAGTGCGAGGTAAACAGTGAAGTGCACTCCACCTGGGGGACTGAGATAATGGCATCATCATAATAATTACTGCAATCAGGTGAAGTAAAGGTGCTGGGGTTGTGGGAGGCTGTGGGTGGCAAAGTCTGGGTGGGTACTCCCAGGCAAGCCCAGATGACTTAGGGCTGGGCCTGCTGGAGCCTAGAGCTAACAGCCAAATAGTCAACCAGAGGCCTTCTGGGGCAGCCCCCAACACAGAACCAAGGGACCCTCTGAATTCCCCTCTTTGGACCAGAAGCCCCTACTATTCTGTTCTGCCCCAGGGAAGACTGTCCCCCTAGTGTGGGTGGGGATAAGGGTGACAGTTCAGGGCTCTGAGAAAACCAGGTTGAGTTCTGGATTAGCTTCATGCCCTAATTTAGGGGCTCAAAAAGGGGTAAACTGGGGATTCTGGGTTGGTAAAAGCTAATGGGTCAATTGTGTAGATCCAGTTTTCCACATCCAGAGAAGGTGACCTGGATTCCAGAACCAGGCACACTTCCTCAACCCTTCAGGGTCTAAAAGTAAGCCTTAAATAAGACTATGTCTATGATCTACTAGTCAGTCAGACTGTCTCATACGCACAGGCTCAGTGAAGGAACTGAGGCATGGCATGGCTGTCCTAAGGCTAAAAACCAGTACATCCCCCGACAAGAACCTGAAGCCCCGGTCTTAGCCCTGTGTTCTTTCCCACTTCCCACACAGATCTGAGATGGGTGTTCTGCTCCACCAGCCTGACACCTGGCATCGCTCTTCCTCCCTCCTAGAGGTTCAACCTAGAGCTTACGTCAGAAGCACCAGGAGGGCTTGTTGGGCTGTGATGGCAGGCCCCGCTCCCTGGCTGGGCTCCAATTCCCCTTCTGAGGCAGGCTTGAGAGTTTGAATCTATAATGAACTCCCTGGTGATATAGCTGGCCTGGGGACCACACTTTCACAACCACACCCCCATCCTTTGAGACTACAGCTTATACATTACGTTATGGTTGGCCCTGCCTAGTGGGAGAGCTGAGCTGTCCCTTCAACCTCAGAGCTTCTCAAGGGAGAGAAACAGTCCATGTCAAGGGCATCACACCTGTAAGCAAGAACGAAGACCACTACTATCTCCGGCCCGCCCGCCCTCCCTCCCTCCCTCCCTCCCTCCCTCCCTCCCTCCCTCCCTTCCTTCCTTCCTTTCTAAATTTTTTGTTTCCTGTGGAGCAGCATCAGAAGAGAAAAATGCCTCTTTTTTTTTTTTTTTCCTTCTAGAAGGTTTTGCTATATAGTACAGGCTGACTTCAAACTCCTCATCCTCCTGCCTTAATCTCCTGATCAATGAGATTACAGGCTCTGGACATCATACCTGGTTTATTCTATAAAAATTTAACTTCTCTGTTCTTTTGCTTGTTTTTTGTGTGTGTGTGTGGGGGGACTATTATTGTTTGTAGGAGAGAGTTATGTTTGTTTCTTTTCTTGTTTTTATTTCTCTGTTTTTTGAGACAGGGTCTCATGTTACTAAAGGGGGGCTCAAACTCCCTATGTAGCCAGGAATGACATTGAACTTCTGATTCTTCTATTTCCTGAGTGTTGGGATTATAGGTGTTAGTGCCACACCCAGTTTTTTGGGTGCTGGGGCTTTAAGTCAGGGCCTGGTTAGTACAGGCAAGCACTGTATTAACAGCTACAATCACGAGGCCTGACCTCTCTATTTCTTAAAGTTCCCCTTGACAATAAAAAAACCACAATGCCAGGCATGGTGGCACAGGCCTGTAATCTCAGGACTCAGGAAGTTGAGACAGCAGGTTCAGGAATTCAAGAGTTTAAGTAGTCTAGGGAGATGTTTACAATTTTGGTTTGAGTTTTGTTGTTTGGGGTTTGGGGTGAGTTTTGTTTGTTAGTTTCTGGTGTTTTGTTTTGCTTTGAGACAAGGGATCATTTGTAGTCCAGGCTAGCCTTGACTTCTGGGCAGGGGATCACTTATAGTCCAGTCTAGCCTTGACTTCTGGGCAGGGGATCACTTGTAGTCCAGGCTAGCCTTGACTTCTGGACAGGGCATCACTTGTAGTCCAGGCTAGCCTTGACTTCAGGGCAGTCTTCCCACCTTTACCTCCCAAATGCTGGGATTCCTCCAGCCTGAGACACCATGCTGTCTGTCCTTCCCACCCTCACCGTGTCCTGAGAACCCAGTGCAAGCCAGAAAACGGAAGCGCTGACATGAGGAAATAAAAGGAAACAGAGCCATTTCTTTTCTAGAACCGGGAAGTCATAGTGTAGGGCAGACGTGAAAAACCACAAAGTCGATGTGAAGTCCCGATGACTCCACAGGCCCGGAGTGATGTTCTCTGGGCTCTCTTGCTGCACTCTCCCCCAACATGGAAAAGCTCTGCCCCTTCTGTGCCGTCTTTAGCTTACAGACCGTAGAAGCAAAGGCTACAGGGCGAGGGTTATCACAACATACCCTCCTTCCAGCTGTTTGTGCATGACGGCTTCGAAACAGCAAAGCCAGCCCCTGGTGGCACAGTCCCATAATCCCCACTACTCTAGAGGCTAGGGCAGGAGGATCTCAAATTCAAGATGTAGCAAGTTCCAGACCAGCCTGGGCAGCAAAGCCCTTTCTTCAGCTGCCAATAGGCAGGCTCGGCCTAGACCTGCAGGGACCAGGTCAGGCTGTGAGGGCTGCATCCCCAAGCCTAGTAACCACCTGGATCTGACCATTTGAAAACACCATTGCACTATAAGCCCCACCTGCGCCCCAAGTTTGGGAGCTAGTGATGACAGACACTGCCATTTTTTAGGGTCTGCTTAAGGCTCAGCCAAGGAACAGATGCCTGTCCACCCCCAACCCTAGCAGGACAAACATCCCAGGAGGATATAAACCCAAGAAAAGATACTGATTTCCTCCTCCTGTCCCACGGCCAGGCTAAGCAGAGACAGTATCAGGGTTTGTCTGTTTTCAAAGTCCCTTTGTTCTGTGTGGCCTTGCAGATAGGGCACTGTGAGCTGTTCCCAGCTCAGCAACACAGCCCCTTCTCCTATATGGTGTCTAGGAGCCCTGTTGTAGGAAACAGCACAGAGAAGCAGCAGCCGCAAAGCACTTAAACTTTATTTTATACTCCCAAGTGTTCAGGGAAGAAGAATGGATTATTTTGTTTCCCCATTTGGGTCTGTTTATATAGGCCAAGCTGCCTCTCTCCAGAGTGCTGGGGGTCAAAAGTGTTTGGAATTTCAGAGTTGTTGATTTGTTTCCGATTTTGCATAGAGTTTATTTCTAGAGCTTTAAGAAGTTTTGGGCCAGGCATGGTGGCACACGCCTTTAACACCAGCACTCAGGAGGCAGAGGCAGGCGGATCTCTGTGAGTTCAAGGCCAGCCTGGTCCACATAGTGAGTTCTAGGAGATAGTTTTGTTCTCTTAGTTTTATTCCTTTTTAAAAATTATTTTTTTGTGTGTGTGTTTTTTTGAGACAGGGTCTCCCTGTAGCCCCAGCTGTCCTGGAACTCACTATGTGGACCAGGCTGGCCTTGAACTCACAGAGATCCGCCTGCCTCTGCCTTGAGTGCTGGGATTAAAGGCGTGCGCCACCACGCCCAGCCCTGGACTGGTGTTTTCAGATTACATTTCATATTTTCAGTCTGCAGTAAGGCTTGGATCAGAGAGCCAAAGTCCTGTGAAGGCTGTAACTAGGCCAAGCTATTGGTGTGTGTGTGTGTGTGTGTGTGTGTGTGTGCACCCATACACATGCACATGTGTGTATGTACTTTCCATCACTATAACAAATCTCTGAGATCATCGATTATAAAGTAAATAGGTTTGCACACCTATAATCCCAGCACTTGGGAGGTGGTGGCTGAAGAGTCTGGAGCTCAAAGTCATTCAGGGCTACATTGCAAGTCTGAGACCAGCTTGGGTACATGAGACCCTGTATCAAAAAAAATAAAAGAAAGAGGGCCTGAAAAGATGGCTCTGTGGTTAAGAACACTGCTTACTCTTGCAGAGGACCCAGGTTCAGTTCCCAGCACTCACATGGCAGCTAACAACCATCCTTTCCTCCAGTTCCAGGGGATCTGGCCTCCACAGGCATTACACATACAGATGTGCTTACATATGTTCAGGCAACACACACACACAAAATAAAAATAAATAAATACAATTGAAAATAGAGAGGAAAAGGAGTTTATTTTGGGTCTGTTTAGGAGGTTTCAGCCCATGGTTGGTTGGTCCCATTGTTTGGGGGCCTTTGGAGAGTCTGCTCATCATGGTGACATGGCGAGGCTTCCTAGGTGGAGGGAGCAAAGCTGCTCCTCTCGTGGCCAAAAGCGGGGGTGGGGGACACGACAGAGAGAGGAGGGGAGAGAGAGAGAGAGAGAGAGAGAGGGAGAGAGAGGGAGAGAGAGAGAGAATGAGAATATCCTCTTTGAGGGAGGACATGCCCACTATGCCCTAATATGACCTAAGTCCTCCCACCAGGCCCACCACCTCTAAGCATTTCTACCACTTCTGGGTATTGCCACGTTAGGGCCTAAGCCTGTAGCATGTGGATCTTTAGGGACAATTCAGAACCACACTATGGCGGTGGGTGGCAGGGCATTTGTCCTTGGACCCTCCTTTGGGGACAGCCATCTCACGAGCTCCCTGGGGCCGGGCTGGCATGGTACAGCCCTTCAAACCCAGATGGCCAACTACTGTTTCCTGAAGAGACCATCTCCAGAGCCCTCCCAGGCCAGACTCTCAGTCTCTACCCCTCCCTAGGTATCTGGAAACACCCAGAGGATGAAAATGGACCTAGAGCAGCACCTGGCGCGGCTCAGCGAAATCTTTGCTGCTCGGGGTGACTACATCCAGACCCTGAAGTTCATGCAGCAGATGGCGGGCAACGTTGTTTTCCAGCTCTCCGGACTGCCTGTGTGGAGGGAGGTCACCATGCAGCTGACTGACCTGTCCCACAAGACTGCCTGGGTAGAATACTACAGGTGAGGCTCTGGCTCTAGGGAGGCCGTGGGAGGGCTGGGGGAACAACATCTGTAGGCCCAGCCATGCCCCCCAGCCTCAATGCAGCAGGTGAGTAGAGGGGTTCTGAGGGGTACCACCTCACACTACTTTTCTCATTGTGAGGAAATAATCCTGACAACCACCACCTAAGGAAGGAAGGGTTTATTTTGGATTACAGTTCAAGGAGACGGTCCAGTACAGGGAAGTCATAGCAGCAGGAGCCTGAGGCAGCTGGTCACACTACATCCGCAGTCAGGAAACAGCGAATGTTGCCGCTCAGATCATTTCATTCGGGGCGGCGGGGGGTCTTCTACCTCAATCACTATAATCTGGAAAATCTTGGGCTGTTGACATGGCTCAGATGGCGTATTAGTTACTTTTCTGTTGCTGTGATAAAACACCATGACCAAGGCAACTTATAGAACAAGCATTTATTTGAGCATATGGTCCATCACGGTGGGCGGGTCTGGCAGGGGGCAGCTTTAGCAGAAAGCTAAGCGTTTACATCTTCAAGCACTCGCAGGATGCAGAGAGATGGCAAGGTGGAAGTGAAATAAGGTTATAAACCCTCAAAGCCTGCCCGGAATAACCTCCTGCCTCTAGCAACGTGCACCTCCTAGGGATTCCATGAGCACCCCAAAACAGCACCAACTGGGGACCATATACTGTATTCAATACTGGAGCCTATGGGGGACACATCTCATTCAAACCAAGCTGATAAAGGTTCCTCTCACCAAGCATGGAAGCCTGAGTTCAATCCCCTGGGCCCCATGTGGTGGAAGAAGAAAACATGCAAGTTTTCCTCTGACTTTCATATGCATACCACACACACACACACACGTGATTTTAAAAAGAAAATTTTTTTTTCAGTCTTTTTGAGGCAGGGTCTCCCTGTAGCCCCAGCTGGCCTGGCATTCACTATGTAGACCAGGCTAGCCTTGATCGCAAGAGATCTGCCTACCTCTGCCTCCTGAGTGCTGGGCCTGAAAATGTGTGCACCATGCCCTGCATAAAGAAAATATTGTTCATGCCTGCTCAGCGATTTGTCTCCTAGGTGATTCTAGTTCCTTCAAGATTAAGCATCATACCACACCACCTCACTTAGGTGTGCAAACTAACCCCTGTGTCATCCAGCCTGTGATATCTGTTATGTCTCCCTTGGGACTCCATCCCTGATGAAGACCCTGGCTGTCCTCCCTCTAGGTATAAAGTCTCGGAAGGCTCACTCGGTAAGAGCCAAGGAAGGAGGCAGCTGTCTCCATCCTAGGGTGACCTCCATCCAAATGACTGAGCATTCAACATAGTGTACATGCATCATGGGTGACATGCGTGTCACTGTGCTCCCAGAGCAGGCCCCAGCATCACGAAAGCACAGGGTGGGACAAATAACATGGGTCTTACAAGACTAGGGTCAGCTCTTTGAATCCCTCCTGTACCCAAAAGACTTGACACCTTTTCAAACCATTGAGGAAGGTCAGAGCCTTTACCCCAACATTGTAAAATATACCCTGATTTTCTGGATTAGACTCCCATTATGTCATAAAGCCCCACTGCTGGGCTGAGTTCAGAGGAAATGCTCAAGACCTCCCCATCGGACCCTCTTTTCCAAAAGGAAGGACTTAACCCAGTCCCTAGCTCCCAGTGGTGTTCTGACTCTAGACGGCACTCCTGGGTCCAAGTGGTGCTCCCATCCCTCACCCCTTAGACCTTGCATCTCTCTGACATCATGGACATTCTGGATGGAGAGGGACCTCTGCCTAACACCTCCCAGACAGATATAAACCAAGATGCCTCTCTCCCAGGGGACAAAAATTGCCAGCTGAGGGCCTACCTGTGGCCCTAAAACAGTGGTACCCGATAAGCCCCTTAATATGGGGGCTGTTCACTGCCTGAGCCCTTGAAATTGTCACGTGAGGCTGGGCGGCTTGTTTAGAGTGGGTGTCCTTGCGGACCTGGCTCTTCTCCCTAAGTGTGCTTGGCAGATAACCTGTGGGCACTTTGGTAAAGACCATGAAGAAATAGTTGAGGTTTATGTATAAAAAGGGGCTTCTTGTTCAGGTGAGGTTATTAAAAATCAGAAAAGCCAGGGCTGGAGAGATGGCTCAGAGGTTAACTTATTGTTCTTCTAGAGGACCTGAGTTTGGTTCTCAGCTCATAAGTCAGGCAACATATAACCACCTGTAATTCTAGTTGCAGAGTATCTGATACCCTCTTCTGGCCTCTGCAGACACCTACACTCACTTGCACATATCCACATGCAGACAGATATACACACATACACATAAACTAATTTTTTTTGTCTTTTTTGAGACAGAGTCTCCTTGTAACCCCAGCTGGCCTGGAACTCACTATGTAGACCAGGCTGGCCTTGAACTCACAGAGATCTGCCTGCCTCTGCCTCCCGAGTTGCTGGGATTAAAGGCATGCACCACCATGCCCAGCTTAATATTTATTTTTATTTTATGTGTATGAGTGTTTTGCCTGCATGTGTGTAAGTGTACAATATATGTGCTGTGCTGTGCTGTGCTGAACAGGCCAGAAAAGGGCGTCAGATCCCCTGGAACTGGAGTTATGGTCCATGGTAATCCCCATGTGGGTACTGGGAACCCAATCCTGGGCTTCTGCAAGAACAGAGAGTTCTCTTAACTGCTGAGCCATCTCTCCAGCACCCCCCCCCCTTTTTTTTTAAAAAAAATCAGGAAAGCCAGTAACCAATGCACCAGCAACTAATTCAGAGGCACCCACCTCCTCCTTATTTGGGTCAGGTTGAGGAATAAGGTTAGTTCAAGAGTCACTGCAGATCCCGAACACTGAGTGTCACTTCTTCTATCTCAGCTGTGTTTGCAGCTCCCTGTCCTGCCTGGGCTGCCTAGTTCACAGGATCCTTGAATGAGTCTCCCCAGAAAGGCTTCCTAGTGGATGTCATGCATGCCAATCCAGTCAGGCAAACACTTCTGAGCACTTTATAACGGAGGGGGGCCATCACTTAGAGGATGTAACAATCAGGAGACTTATAGTCTAGGACTAAGATGTGGATGCTGGCCTGCAGAGACCGGATGTGGTGAGGCTGTGGGAGTGGCACAGACTGGAGCAGTTCCTTAGGCCACAGCCAAGTTCTTGGTGAGAAATCCCTCCCCCAGTTCTCAGGGGCTCCTCTGGGAGAACACATCTGCCCAGGAGTTGTTTCTAGTAACCACTTATACAGGCAGCAGGCATGGGCCTAAGAAAGCATAGGAAACCAGAGCTGTGGGAGTGGGGGTGGGAAGGCCCTCCCCCAACTGTATTTCCTACAGATGAAGGATGTGGGGAGGGAGTGGCACATCTTTAGGTTGGGGAACACAGAACACTATTTTGGAAGGTACCCTGGCAGCATCCCTCAAAGGAAGGAGGGTATAGAGTTCCCATCGAGCTTCTAGAACTCTCAGCCATCACAGCTCTCAACTTTCCGATCTGTACAGTGGGACACTAACACTAGATGGTTCCTGAGCTTCCTTCTAACTCTGAGTCTAAGAAAACTTGGTTTTCTAAGAAAACTTCCTTGGGACCTCCAGCAAATGCAGGCCAGCTCTATCCTTGTCTCAAAGCCTTAGCCCTGTTTCTGAAACCCCAAATGCCTGCTTGTGTGGTGCTTGATGTGCTGCATGGGGGCTAAGAGTTTTGATTAAGCCCCTGCTTTTGGTATCAAACCTCGATTCACAAAGATAGGCTCTCACTTGGCTTCTGGGGGCCTCCAGCTTGCTCCCTCCTCCTCCGAACATCTAGTCAGTCCCTACCAGCTCCCCATGCCGTACTTTCACTCCAGACTCTTTCATCCCCTCCTTGTGGCATTGGTGAAGCAGAACTCGATTGCTGGAGAGGAAGACATCGATGAATGTACTTGGCCTTGGCATCACGAGAAATAAGGATCAAAAGACTTCTCTCTGTTGGAACTAGAAGAAGCTCCCTGTCTCTTCCTCCCTCTACCCCCCTTACTGACTCCGTTGCTCAAACTGGTCTTCAGCATAGGCTCCCTTGAGTCCTAATGGGAAGGGAAAGGGTCAGGGGCACTTAAAGATCTTCTTGCAGCCCTTGGACCTAAGGTATCCACATTCTTCAATTCAGCTCCCACTATGCAGAAATAAAGGCTGCAACATCTGTGGCTATTTACCCCATTGCATCCAGCAAGCACTCCTTGCCCTGTGCCTGTGAGATGAAGGGATCCAGCTTCCTTTACACATCTGGAAACAGAGTCAAAGGGGGAAGGTGGGGCTGGGAATGTAGCTCCATTAGTACAGTGCTTGCTTAGCATATATGAAGCACTGGGTTTAATCCCCAGCACTTGGACTGTAGAGACAGAAGGACCACAAGTTAAAAGTGATCTTTGGCTACATATTGAGTTTGAAGCCAGTCTGGAAATAAGTGAGACACTATCTCAGAAAAAAAAAAAAAAAAAAAAAAAGAGGAAAGGGAGTGGGGATGGTGGACATGGCGCATACCTTTAATCCCAGCACTTAGGAGGCAGAGGCAGACCAGCCTGATCTCCATAGCAAGTTCCAGGTCAGCTGGGGCTACAGAGAGACCCTGTCTTGAAAAACAAATGAAGTTGTGGGAAAGGTGGATTGCCACAGTCTCTAGCTGGTATATGACAGCTTTCCCATAGAGGTTCAGCCCTGGGAGACCCAAAGGCCCAAAGAGCAGTGGCTTGGAGGCCTACAGGTTAGTGGAGGCCCCAAGATATCCCAGCCCTGGCTTCACCTGAGCTCCTGATAGTCAGGAGTGGGCCCGGCCCTCTCATGTAGGCATCCTGATACGAAGCTCAGTGCCTGGCACAGATGTTGGTTGAAGTGACCCTTGACATCCTATATTGTGTATCCCACAGAGGCTGGTGCAAGATGGGAGGTTTGGGGAAGCCAGGCAGAATGTCCATCAAAGAGGACATCTCAGGAGCTTTCTGAGACCTGTGACTAATATCAGCCCTTAGTGGATCTGCTGCTCTTTGAGAGATCCAGAAACAAAGTAAAGCAGGTCCGGAGAGAAGCCTGCTGGGGGCTGCTGAGACAGGGCTCTGCTGTTCAGTATGGACACTGTCAACCACCTATGTCTGTTAACATTAATTAAAAGTCAGGCAAGGGACTAGAAGTGGAGTCAATGGCAGACAGAGCTCATGTTAGCATGCATAAGGCCCTGAACTTGATCCCAGCACCATAAAAAAATGTAATAATTACCAGGCGTGGTGGCGCACGCCTTTAATCCCAGCACTTGGGAGGCAGAGGCAGGCAGATCTCTGTGAGTTCAAGGCCAGCCGGGTCTCCATAGTGAATTCAGACCAGCTGTGGTTACGGGGAGACCCTGTCTCAAAAAGACCAAAAAAAAATAGTAATAATTAATGTTAAGTAAACTTAGACATTCATTTCCTTCATGGGGATGGGCAAGGTTTTGCTGTCACCCCAAGCTTGCCTACAACTTTTGCCTCTACCTCCCAAGTGCTGGGATTAAAGGCATATGCCACCACATCCAGCTTCATTTTCTATCTTTAATTTTTTTTTCACATTTTAAAAAATATTTTATTTATTATTTTTATTTTATCTGTACGAGTGCATTGCCTGCATGTATGTGAGTGTACCCGTTTCGTGCAATGCCGTGGAGGTCGGAAGAGGGCTTCAGATTCCCCTGGAACTGGAGTTAAGGACAGTTCATAGCTGCCATGTGGGTGCTGGGAATCGAACCCGGGTCCTCTGTAAGAGCAGTCAGTGCTCTTAACTGCTGAGCCAACTCTCCTTTTTTTACATTTCTTTATTTTGTATGTGTATGTGTGTGGGCATGCACCTGCTGTGGCATGGGTATGGAGGAGGTCAGAGGACAACTTGTAGGAGTCAGTTCTTCCCTTCCACCATGTGGGTTTTGGAGGTTGTCCAGCTTGGTAGCAAGTGCCTTTACCCATTGAGCCATCTTGACAGCCCCTCATTTTCTCTCTTGCATAAGCCACATCTCAGGTTCTCAGTAGGCATCTGTGAGTAGTTAGTGGTAGACAGAGTGAACAAACAGATGTAGACTCTTTCTACCATGATGGAAAGTTCTAGTGACAAGTACTAGTCTAGCTGTTCCACCAGAATATCAAGGTGGAGAGGGGGACAGGGGCAGGAGTACAGATTTGTCTAGCTAAAAATGAAGAGACAACGCCCCAGCCTCTGCCTAGGCTGCTGCATCGGCCTCCCGGGGCAGCAGGTGGGCAGTTCTGCTCCTCTGATCCTGACCTTCTCCCTGCCTCCACCCAGGTGGCTCTCCTACCTCCTGCTCTTCATCCTGGACCTGGTCATCTGCCTGGTCACCTGCCTGGGACTGGCCAAGCGCTCCAAGTGTCTCCTAGCCTCGTAAGTAAGCCTACCTGTGGGTCTGGAACAGAGAGCTGAGCAAGAAGCCATTCACAGAGGCAGACGAGGGCCCTGAGGGTGCAGTAGCCGGGCTGCCCTTCCCCAGCACCCGGCTGAGTCAGGACACTGTAGGCAGAGGCTTGCTGTGTGGCCCACACTGAGCACCTCCAGCTGTCTCTGGCTAATATGCCCTCACCAGCTGGGTCTCTTCAACCCAGGGACCTCTGTTCCAGACACTGGGCTCCACAGCCCTCTCCCAGCTGTTAGTAGAGAAGGGGGGTGGTCCATGCATGGCAAGGGAAACCCTGCCTGGGAGGAAGATACTGAAGGCAGATAGGATGACTGCTGTTCAAGGGACCCCCCCTCCTGCCCACCCACCCTTATGGAATCCCACAGTGTCTGCCTCTGCCCTAGAATGCTGTGTTGTGGAGTGCTGACCCTGATCCTCAGCTGGGCCTCCCTGGCCGCCGACACAGCTACAGCAGTGGTGAGTGGAGTTGGGGGTGTGAGTGGTGGGTCTGACCAGGATGTGTCCTGTCCAGAGCACCCAGGTAGACTAGCTGCCAGCCTCAGTCCCTCACCTACCATCCCAGAATCTCAGAATTGGAGCGGCTTGGATCACCTCGGCCAGGCTCAGAGACAGAAAGCGGCTTGCCCAAGGTTACAGGGCCTCAGGGGCAGAGCCAAGATTAGACTCAGCTACTTGTACCAGCTTGTGGGGAACTCGTGGGTGGCCAGGTGACTTCCCTGTGCTTGTGAAGAATTGACCTAGTGAAGGCTGAGTGGGTTGGCAGCCCGGGATGGAAGAGCCTTTAGCTGCCTCTGGTATGAGGTGTATAGAAGGTGGCGCTTATCTTGCTTTCTGGCCCTTTGGTTCTAATGTCCTCATGCATTCTCTCTCTCTCTCTCTCTCTCTCTCTCTCTCTCTCTCTCTCTCTCATGCTTCTGATTGTGGTGCCTCAAAATGTTATAGAAAAGTGATGGCCTGCCCTACGTGAGAATGTTTGGGCTAGGCATTGTGGTGCCCACTTTTTATCCCAGCACTTGGGAGATGGAGGCAGAAGGATCTGAAATTTAAGGGCATCTTTGGCTACATAGTGAATTCAAGGCTAACCTGGGCTATATGAGACCTTGTCTCAAAAATCAATGTAGTCTTACACTGGAACTGAGCTGCATCAGTGAGTCTGTCTGCCCATTCACTCAGCAGATGGTTTTTATGGCATGTCATTCAACAGGACCAGGTGCCTCAAGACACAAAACCCAGGAAGGTATGAGTTCTCTGTTGATAATCACTCGGTAGAAGACAGACTTGTGGATAGATCATCATGCCATGGTATAAATGACCAGGAGCAAGTGCGTGCTCTGTTCTGTGTATGGTGATTTGTACCTATGTGAACATATACACACAGACAAGTGCATGTGTGCTGGGGGAACACATTTTATCGGGATTTCAAGGAACCCCTCACTGATTTGAGGACCATAAATGAACCCCATCTTCTGCACGTGTTCTTTACCTGGAGGTAAAAAGACAGAGATTGAGATAAGAGCTTCTACCCACATGCCTTATCCGGAGCCCCTGGGGCTGACCGGGAGTTCTGGCCTTAGGCACTTATGCTCACAGAATGAATGTTTCCTGGTGCCACTTGCCTCTGCTACTTGGGGCAGAGGCTTACTCAGAAGCGCTAAGAAGCCAGGTGCAAGCCTGTGATCCCTGGCTTCTCTGGAGGCTGAGGCAGGAGGATTACAAATTAAAGGCCTGTCTGGGCTACAGAGCAAGTTTAAAGGCAGCCTGAATAACTTTGTAAGACCCTGTCTCTAAAAAGGGATGAGAATTCAGCTCAGTGGTAGAGCACTGTGTAGCAGGTAAAAGGTTGTCAGTTCAATCCTCAGTACCGTAAAGGGGGTAGGGAGAGCTGGGGCTGTAGCTCAGTTAGTGATGTGCTTGTCTGACATTCACAAAGCATCCCCAGCACTGCACACTTGTTATCCCAGCACTTAGGAGGTAGAGGCAGGAAGATCAAGAGTTCAGGGTCATCCTTGGCTACCTAGTGAGTTCAAGGTCAGCTTGGACTATATGAGATCCTGTCTCAAAACAAACAAAAAAGGAAGTGGGCATTTCTCATCTCCCCTCTTTGTTCTATGACCACAACCCAAGGGCTGGTACAGAAAAGAGCCGGGTGCTAGAGCCCAGGCGCTGCTCAAAGCGTCCTGCCAGCCTTGGGCTAGGAAGACTGTAAACAGCGTGGGGGGGGGCCTCTTGGCCAGAGTGATGGGCGCAGCTGCCTAGCTGGCAACCTCTCCTCCAGAGACAAGTGTAGGCACAGGGAAGCTTTCAGTGTGAACCTTAATGGAGCCTGGACCCACTTCTGGCAGCCTCTGCCTTTGGAAATGTTGATGGAACCCAGCTTGCCACCGTGAGCTGCCCCTTGGGAGCCAGCTCCCTCCCAGCAGGGGCTTCTGTTACCGGGCTTCCCGTTCAGGGAACCCACAGACCGTTTTATCTGCAGCCGGGTGCCATGGAATGCCAGGGAGTTGGGAGCCATGCCATTTCCCTAATTCCTTTAGTCAGGCCCTTGTGCGGGAGAGGCAGGGTGTGAGGGCACTGAATGGGCCTTTGACAGAGCTGAGGATGCTGTAGCATTTTAATAGGGAGAGGGGTGAGGAGGAGCTGCAAGTGGGGGGTGGGGGGAGGCCACCAGCTGTCAAGGGGTCATTGTGCAGAGCTTTTGTGTGGCCTCCACTGCCACCCTGCTCTCTGAGGCCTGTTTTGAGAGCACTGAGGGGGGAGAGACTGACACCACCACCCTGCCCCCAACCTGTCCTCCAAGCAGGGCCTCCAGAGACCAGAGCACAGCCCCTGAGACTTTGTTCCAGGGGATGCTGAATGGAGGGTAGATGAGAGCTTAGGAACTAAGAGTCTCCAGACCTGTGGCCCTAGCCCCTCCCCTGACCATCCTCCATCCCCTGTGTGAACCACAGAAGAGTCTTAGGGGCTCAGGGCTTTTCAGATCTAGGAGGGGTAGTGCAGAGAAGAAAGAGAAAGGAGAGCCCATGAGGAGTCCCCACACGTGTTTAGGCTGCAGAGCAAGGTGGATGGCGCACTCCCAGGGCATCCAAGCCTGAGGGGCAGCAGGCTTGCCTCCTAGGTCAGAGGTAGAGCATGACCATTGGAACCCCCAGCCCATGCCACATGGCCCCTCCATCCCTTCCCTGCAGTGGGACCTCTAGAAAGTTATTAAAGTTTATGCCTCAGTTTCCTTCTGTGTAAAATGAGAATAACAGGACCTGCCTTGAATGGCACACAGTAATCGCTCAGTATGCCGTAGCCATCTTGGCTTCTTACACAGTTCTCATCATGTGAGGCTCACAGGGATAACCCCTTTAGACAGCTATCTTTGTCCTCAGGAACTTCCTGAAGTCTCAGCCATCATCTGGGCTGGGTTCTAGGCAGCTTTTCCTACCCACCCCAGCTATACCAGATGCCCCTTCCTCACCTCCCCCCCTTCATCTCATTCACCATTGCATGAATAATGTATACACACGTACGTACATTCACACATGTACTCAGGCACGTATACGCATGCATACACACACGTGCATGTATCATCTTTGTGGATACATTTGGCTCCTCACAGTAAGTCACATACCCCATACCACCCTAACTCACTTTCCCAGCTGTGGGCTAAAGCCCACGCCTGCCTAAGCAGGGGAAGGAATGCGGCCCCAGCATTGGTAGAGCCTCAGATGGGTCTCCTTGTCTCTTCCCCACCTTTAGACCCAAGGTCCGGTGACTCAGACAAAGATGATGGCCTTACTTTGTTTACCAAGGCTCCCCCCAAGTACCCCAGCCTGGCTCCCCATTTCTGCTACTCCAGCCAAGGGGTAGGGTGTATCACCACCAGTCCTGCTGGCACTGCAAGTCTGACTAATAATATTAGGCTGGCTGATTTATTATATATGTTGGTGGTTTGTATAGAAAGCCATTCTTCCAGGGTTCTGAGCGCCTGTGGGTGATTATGTATGTGTGTGTGTGTGGATATATTTTTTTTTAGGATGGAAGCATTTGCTCTTAGGAAGTTCATGAAAATGACAGGGCTCAGGAAGCTCAAAAAATTCTGAGACTCACAAGGCCCTTCCCTGCGAGTGTGTGTGTGTGTGTGTGTGTGTGTGTGTGTGTGTGTACACATATGCATGTGGGTCTTTGGGAAAGCTTTGTATCCAGAGGAGCCTGATTCTTCCCAATACTCCCATGCACGTTTTCTACTCTAGGTCCCAAAACACAGGCGTCCCCTCCAAGTTCCCATTCTAGAACCATGCCTGGCACCTAGCAAATATTCAAATCCTGTCTATGGATTCAGTGAATGAAGGGGAGGTTCTGTGGTGTGGGTAGAGTACCATGACCCTGATGGAGAACAGGACCCCTGGTGTTGCAGGGCCACCTGGAGGAATCCCCTGCCAGGGGGTCATGTGTGGGTGGGACAAAGGACCAGGGCTTACCATAGCTGCTCTGAAAGGTGAGAGGCCCCTTTTCCCTGGTTTTCCAACCCTCCTCTGCCAGGTTGGGGCTCAGAGAATGACATCCTCCTGTTGTCCCTAATTCACACAATCACACTGGCCTTACAGGTCACCTAACCAGGCCGTGCTGTAGTTTCAGTCATACCCCACTAATCCCTAGCCTCCCATCTCAGCAGTAAGGACCGATTCCCAAAGACCTTAAGATGAACTCATCTCTAGCCTCACATTTCAGAAGGCAAGTCTGGGACCTTCCATTGGCTGATCATCTGCATATGCAGGGCTTGATAATGACAAGAATACAGTTAGGAAGGACAAATAAGCCTGGGATACAAAGGAATGCACACACACACACACACACACACACACACACACACACACACCTGCAGCTGTCCTGGGCCCCGTCCCAAAAGAGGCACTTAGAAATAAGAGATCACTTTCCAGAGCACCTTGCCTACAATCATTCAGTCATTTGTAAGGTGACTAGTATCATCATGTCCACACGAGAGATGAAAACAACTGAGGCACGGACTCAGTAGCTTGTCCAAGGTGACAGGAAAGGACAGAGCCAGGATTTGAACACAGGAATGAGTCGAAGATCAAAGTAACTGGGACATCAGGAGCCTGATTCACTCCTCACAGTGCCTGGGGGTCTGACCTTCGTTCTGTCTCCGACTCAGGGCACCAGTGATTTCTGCATGGCTCCTGACACCTACATCCTGAACAACACACAGAGCCAGATCAACACAGGTAACGTCCTCTGGGACCTCTGTTCCTACAGCCACACACACTCAGACCAGGCCAACATGACCTGATTGCACCTAAACTTAACCTCGTCCAGCCCTGTGGTCACTCAGCCTTCTCCATGCCTTGGACTTCAGGCTTAGCTGGACTGCTGAGCCGCTTCCTGGAAAACTGCTTCCTTTGGGAGCCTGAGGAGGGAAGGCAGGCTGGGCTGGACCAGCACGCATGCAGAGACCTGGTTCCCTATGAGCTGCCTAACACTGATGCTATTGCCTTGCAGAGGTGGCCCACTACTACCTGCATTGTAGCCAGAGCCTAAGCAGCCCCTTCCAGCAGGTACAGTCACCCAGACTCACCCTTTCTACCACCCCACATCATCTCCTTCCCTCACCCTGAGCCTTCCACACACACAAGGAAGAATGACAGCTGGGCCTTGCTTCACTGTGGTCTTCGCTGTGCACTTGGTTACCGCGTTCTAGGTCTTTCTCCCATGCTCACATATGCACAGTTCCCTGGAAAGCTGGTTACCCTGCAGGTGTTATGCAGGTGGTGGGGGTAGGACCCAAAGTTCCCCATTTCTCCCATGCTCCCAGGCAGAGCCCATGCTGCTTCTCTGAAGACCACATTTGAGTAGCAAGAAGTGAGAGGACTATGGAGCTCTCAAGAAGCCAGAGGGATAAACGGGAAGAGACTTCCTACAGCAGATGACCATATCCTAATAGTGGTTGGGTTGACCAGATGGCTGGGGATCTGAATGCTGAGGACCTGTTTCTCCCTATATAGGTCCAAATCCCCCTATGTTCCCAGGCTAGCATAATCTAACTCTATGCCTGCTCCCTGAATTCAGAGTCTGAGCAGCCTGCCCAAACTCCTGTGCATTAACCTGGGGGAGGGGAGGGAGAGAGGCTACAGGAGGCCTCTGGGTAGCTATGGGGCTTCTGGGAAATAGAGCCTCATGGGGGCCTCTGGTCTTTCCATCTAGTCACTGACCATCTTCCAGCGTTCACTGACCACCATGCAGATCCAAGTTGTAGGCCTGCTGCAGTTCGCTGTGCCCCTCTTCCCCACAGCAGAGGTAAGGCAGCCGCCTCCCACAGGAACCATGTTGAAGGATGGGAGCCCTATTTGCACTCCAGCAACCCTTTCCCCTGCCACACCCCCACCTAAGCCCTAGCTAGGTTTGGTGAGTATGCTGTCAACTACATAACCCTCCTTCCCTTCTCCTGTGGCTCTGCCCTTTTCTTTGGCTCACGAGGCCCCTTTACACCTGCTGCTCTCTGTGGTGTGGTCTGTAAGCCATCCCCTGCTTCTCACTCTGCCTTCTCTTCCCCTCTTCCTACTTCAGAAAGACCTTCTCAGCATCCAGCTCCTGCTGAACTCATCAGAGACCAGCCTGCACCAGCTGACTGCCGTGTTGGATTGCAGAGGACTGCACAAGGTGCAGGGGACCCTGGAGGGTGCATGGAGGGTGTGGGGTGCACCTAGGAAAGGGATTATCTACACTCCCTTCAGGCCCAGGAATGGGGCTTAAGTGGGAAGGGGGAGGAGGTGCCTGGCTTCTTGATTCTCTCTGGTGGCTGGGGAGGGGGGGGAAGCACTCCATGAAAGGAATCTGGGGCAGGAGTAGGAGAGCTGGTCAGGTTAGCTCTAGGGCATTGGGAAACACTGACCTAAATGAAGAAGACAGTTCCCCATTGCCTAGATTCCTGACCATCTGGTCAACCATCCACCTCCCTGACTTGCAAGTCAATGTTTTATTGCCGGGGTCATCTTTCCTGGAACTTGGGGTGTGATATGCTGGGCAAGGTGGTGCATGCCTGTAATCCCAGCACTGGAGGCAGAGGCAAGAGGATCATGAAGTCAAGGCCAGCTTAGGAAACAACAACAAACAAACAAACAGAAATAACAAAAACCAGCTCTCATATATACAAAAATGCAGGGAACCCTGGGAACATGTGCCTGCCTCACCCCCGGCAACGAGCCAATGAATGCCACCATCTTCTGCATCCCATATGGATCTAGAATAGTCATGGTGATCCCAACTGCCATCTCTTAAACACTCCAGTCTGTGATCAGCCTTTGTCAATGTACTGTATCATTTATATGGCAATTAGTCCTTATAGTTGCATTGTAAAATACCCACTCTGTGAGCAGAATAAAATCTATCTATAGATAAGGAAACTTAATACTTGTGTGTGCATAGATGGATGGATGGATAATGTAAATCTGTGTGTATGTTTGTGTATCGAGCTGGTTACTGAAGATTCTAGAGAGCAGGTCAGGGACTCGGACTTGGGTCCTGACAGTCTGACTTCAGAGCTGTAAACATGGAAATCACCCACGTTCCCTCTCTCTGCTTCTCCTCATCTGATCCCTCAGCATGTCCCAGCAAGTGTCTTAAGTGAATCATGAATCTGACAGTGCCTATCCCTATGGTTTCCACCATGGTCCAGGCATCAGCCTGCTTTCCTGGGTGGCAGCCATGGCCTCTTAATTGTTCCCTTGGGAGACAGGGTCCCCCTTTCACCCTCCCCCCATTACCATCCAAGACCTGTCACACACAGAAGCCTAAATGATCCTTTTTAAAAAAATATCTTATTTATTATTTTTATTTTATGTGTATGAGTATATTGCCTGCATTGTAGGTAAGTGCACCCGTGTCGTTCAGTGCCCACATAGGACAGAAAAGGCTGTTGGATCCCCTGGAACTGGAGTTAACAGTTGTTAGCTGCCATGTGGGTGCTAGGATTTGAACCTGGGTCTTCTGCAAGAACAACCAGTGTTCTTAACTGCTGAGCCATCTCTCCAGCCCCAAATGACCCTTTTTTTAAAAAAAAAAAATGTATTGAAAGGGGCTGGAGAGATGAATCATCGGTTAAGAGTGCTGACTGCTCTTGCAGAGGTCCTGGGTTCAATTCCCAGCATCCATATAGTGGCTGACAACTGTCTGTAGCTCCAGTGCCAGGGGAATCCAAAGCCTTCTGATCTCCATGGGCATTGCATGACATGAGTGCACTTACATACATGCAAGCAATATACTCATACACATAAAATAAAAATAATAAAATATTTTTAAATGCATTGGAAGTGAAATATGGTGGCACACACCAATAAAAACATGGGAAGTGTAAGCAAGAAAGCCAGGTGTTCAAGGGCATTCTCTGCTACATAGTGAGTTTGAAGCCAACCTAGGCTACATGAGACCCTGTCTAAAACAACAACAGACTAAAGTCAATGAGGACAAGGGAGATGGATCAGTGGGTAAAAGCACCTGCCACACAAGCCTGATGAATTGATTCCTAGAACCCAGGTGCAGTGGTATGCATCAGTAAAGTCCTTCGTCAGCAAGATGGGGCATGGGGCAGGAGAATCACCCAGAAGCTTGCTGACCAGTTATCCTGGAGTACACTGTGCAGTGCGGCAGAAGCAGCAAGAGTCCCTGCCTCAAAAACAATGCGGAAAGAGAGCCCAGTTTGCGTAGTTGTCTTCTGACCTCCACACATGTGCTGTGACACTTAAGTGCCCTCACTTGTGGATATACACATGCACACACACACACATAAAATAATAATAAATTTTGTTTGTTTTTTTGAGACAGGGTCTCCCTATAGCCCCTACATAGCTGGTTAAAACTTGGTATGTAGACCAGACTGGACTTGATCTCACTGAGATCCACCTACCTCTGTCTCCCCAGTGTTAAGAGTAAAAGCATGTAGCTGGGCATGGTGGCACACGCCTTTAATCCCAGCACTCAGGAGGCAGAGGCAGGCAGATCTCTGCGAGTTCGAGGCCAGCTGAGGCTACAGGGAGACCCTGTCTCAGAAAGTCAAAAAAAAAAGATTAAAAGCATGTGCCACCACACTCAACATGATAAAAAAAATTTTTTTTTGAATGAATATTGAGTTAGGAACCACGCATGGTGTCAATCCCAAGTGTAAGGCCTGCCTGGAAAACTTAGCCAGACCTTGCACCAAACGTAAAATGTAAAAAGAAAAATGTTATGAATGTAACCTGTCTCTGGCTCTATATTTAGCCAACCACCTCTCTGTCTGGTTTGGAGCCAGCCCTCCTGTATCTAATAGATGGTCAGCAAGTATTTGCAGAGTGGTTCATCTGCAGGAGCCCCACTGGGTGACTCCAGGATGGGGACTCCAAATGTCAGTGAAAGGCGCCAGATTGTAGGTCCATGCAGAAGAGAGAGGGGCTTCTGTAGAAGAGTTCAGACCAGGCTGTGCCACCTGTGCCCTCTCCAATCACACACTCCTGTTTCTCCCCCAGGACTACTTGGATGCCCTCACTGGCATCTGCAATGATGGCATCGAGGGCCTGCTCTTCCTAGGCCTCTTCTCCCTCCTCGCTGCCCTGGCTTTCTCTACCCTGACTTGTGCTGGGCCGCAGGCCTGGAAGTACTTCATCACCAGGTGAGCTTTGTGAAGGGAGGGTTGGGGGACTCCTACAGATGGAGGTTTTCTGGGGGTGGAGGGGCATGAAGGAGCTGGTCACCTAAGGCCTGAAACTGAGGAGGGCAGCAGAGGGGCCCGGCATTCAGCCCTGGCAGGCCAACCAGATTTCCACAGCCGTTTCCCCGAGAGATGAGATCGATTCCCCCCGAAAGCAGCCAGGCCAAGGATGGTGATGGGTCTCTCCTGCCACTGCCCAGTGTGCTGTGCTTCTTTCTTCCTAGGCAAGATTTGCAAGGAAAATGATGAAGGAAACCCCAGAGAATGCCAGGCAGGGTCAAATGTATCACTGTTAAGAGGAAACCTAGAGTCTCCCTGGGGAGAGAGAAACAGATAAGGTGGGATTTTAGGACCTCATGAATGGACCAGAGGGAATGAGAGGGACACCCTCCTCAACCCCAGCCTTCACCACTCTCATACATGCAGCTGGCCTGGTGGGCTGTCTGGAAGAGGTGGGCATGGAGATGGGGACAGGTGGAAGGTGTGAGAACCATGCTTTTGTGGGCTATCAAAGAGATACATGTGGCCTGAGAGATTGCTGGGAGGAAAGACTGGGGAGCAGAACAGCCTTGAGCCTCCCTCACCCCTCACTGCTGGCCAAATTCTTTTTTTTTTTTTTAACTTTTACAAAAACTTTATTGAGAATTTCATACATGTATATAAGGTGTTTTGATCAAATCCATGCCCATTCCCTTCCCTCCAACATTCCCCCCTCTGAAGAGGTAACCCTAAAATCTTTTAAGGATTAGAAACAAGCTCCCAAATACTTTTGACATTTTTGGCCTTTGGAACAGAGTATGTTGCTAAGAGGCCCAAGGACATTTTGGCTTTCAGCCAAG